TTCAATTTCTAAATAGACAACACGAAGTGATAAGGATGTACGAAATTTGTCAAACTGCCATACAGACTTAAATACCCAATTTCACCGTGCGTCGTCCCAAAGGAGGCTACTCCATGTCAGCAACTCTCACATACGCGCTTCCTGATATAGGATATAAAGGAGTACTAGTGTCACTTACACATGAACATGTACGGCCATGAAATTTTACGTCGTAAATATCTTTAAATAATGTCAACTTTTCTTAAGGTCTCTTTTCCTCTCTCTCTCTCTCTCTCTTCGTGTTAAAAAGAAGGAAAAGTAAAGTCCAGATATGACTGTGGTGAAGTTGGAGGGTTACTATACAAAACCTGTCCGACGAAGCCGCATTTGTTGAACTGACGTTTGCACAAACTTATCAGTTGTGAGATATATGGCATGCATCTTCTATAAGCGTCTGTTCATATTTACTATAGCGTACTGAGTCATCTGTGGACGTTATTCATATATATAATGTATTTAGTCTCGGGGTTAGTTTCTGAAAACAGAAGTTGAATCCGAAATATGCATATGCCTCCTACGTCACTGCAGTCCCTCTCTCTGTCTCCACAAACGAGGCTCCGGAAACAGATAAGAAAAAAGAAACTCCGTGGTTTTAGCCCGCAAGCGAACTATACCGACCGAGCGAATGCCGCTTGCATAGTTGCATGCTTGCAGCATAGTTAGTGCCAAATTTAGCGGATAGAGGGTGTAGCGTAGTCAGCGTAACGAGTCCCCACGGCCGTTAATTTCGGTTTTCTAGACTGGAGCCGCTGCTTTTCCGTTCAAGTAAAAAAAAAGTAAAGCTATTCCTGTACAAGGCCGTGAAGGCCTACAGGGTTGTGAGACGTTGAGGGTCCCACATTATCTAGACAATCGGCTCAAAGTAGGCGGTAAGGTTGTCAGCCTAACGCGCCGGCCGCACTTTACTCCCCAGGAAAATTTATTTAATTAATTCCTGGTACTCATTTCTGTTAGAGGTTGAGTAAACCCCAGAGCCTAGTGCGGCTGGAAGGATTAAGTCAACTGAAAAAATCCAATGACCTCATCGGGACTTGAACCCGCGACCTTCTGGTTTGTAGCATAGCTCCTCAACCAACTACGCTACCGCGTTCCCCTTTTCTATTCAAGTAGCCCCTTAATTATCCTCACGAGGCTGAGTGGACCCCGTTCCAGACCCACTACTTCTCAGAAAATTCGGGACCTCTGGATCAGTAGCCAGGAACTCTGACCACTAGACCACTCCAATTTCTAGCAGAAATTGGAGCCATAATGGTAAATGATTAGGTTAAATCTATCCGGTTCCGTGAAATACCTTATTTCGTGCTGCGATATTCTAAATTCGCCATGAAATTATGCACGGGATTCACAGTTAGTGTCAATAGCCCTGCATAGGTGGCTCCATGGTATCGTGAAATAATGAGTACTAGGAAAAAGAGTTACTGTGGGGGAAGTCCCAATACTGAGTCATTGCTGAAGAATTATTGGCTTCCAACTGTGCAGCAGGGCCATCGAATCTAAACGCCGATGTAGGGGCCGGAGCACTGCCTACGCTAGCGTAGCGTGGGTGGGGAGACACTCCGCAAGTTTGGAAGCGACAGAATTGGTTGATAAGCAGAACTGACAAATGTGCGTGCACGCTGAATAGTTATACTATGCACTCAAAATTGTGCCCAGTCATGGATGTCGTCATTATTTTTTTCAAAAGGAGGCAGCAAGAAAATTATTTTACGAATTTCTATTTAAGCCATTTAAGAATATTTTTGCGAATTTTAAAAGAAAAGTTTTTAACTTAGATTATTTGTTTTTGAATTGGTTCGTACTAGTCCGTCACACTAGCAGGTTACCTGCTAAGTCCACTGTGATTTAAAGTTTCAAGGTTTTATGGTCTTACACATGGGGGCACGCGGTAGCGAAGATGGTCTCTCAGACAGAGACATGTCAATGATAAAAGATTAAAAAGGAGAAAAAATCGATTATTTGTATTTGGTATATTTTTCATTTTTCTTCAATTTTGATTTTTTTTTTTTTTGAATCTAGTGGCGGAAGGGGCAGTTGCCTCGTTTTCCTTCTTCGCCCCCGCTGGAGCCCCCGTGTCTATTTTATCTTCCGACAAGCGCGTGACGTGTAAAATTGTGGCTCATACTTCGATATCGAGCCCACGAAGGTTACTTACTCCACATGACGCTAGTACACGTCCCACCTCAGCAATTAGTGAACTGAAAATATACCCAGTCCCCATATTTGCTGATGTGGAACATACTCGAGTGTCACTTACTTTACGTCACAGAATAGTCGAACATAAAACTTTTGTTCAGGTACCATTTTTGTAGAATATGAAATGAAAAACTCCGAAATGACGAAGAATTAAATCGAAATAAGCCAGAATCACAATGACTTTGCAGCTGTTTTCTGTAAGAACTCATTGGACGAATCATGACACAGGTCACGAACTGCTTCGAATTGTTATCCGATAACTTTGTCTTGGGAACTGGGTAACGACGCGAGAAATTGCAATCACAACTGTCGGCTCGGTGGACCATCTGCAATTATCGTTATTTGAAGAAGGAATTTTATGCCCAATTCAAAAAGAAATCATCTAATGAAATGTTTCGGTCATTCGGTTGAGCGTTACCATTTTAAATATTTTAGAGGATTGAAACCACGAGTTATAAATTAATGTACAAAACATTAAAAAATAAAATAGAAATTAGATGAAGTTCAGTATACACAGAACCTTCTGTCATCTTGTCTTCTACCTAGAAGAATTTAAAGACTGAAATATACGAAACTACACTATTACCAACTTCTTTGTGTAGGCGTGAAACTCTCTAAATTGCGAGAAGAAGGTAGTTTAATGATCTTCAGAAGAGCGTGCTCAGAACACTACTTTGACTTAAGTGGGAGAAGGTAACAAGACCTAGGAAAAATTACACACTTAATGAGGAGTTTCATAATTACTGTTCTTCATCAAACATTATTTTTTCCCCCTTTGGCACTACAGCTCCAGTGGGCCTAGGCCTACCCCCATGAACTTCTCCGTTCACTTCAGTTTTTCTAGATCTTACACGTTCGGTAGGAGTCCTTGGGCGGGTGATCAGCTCGTCGCAAGGCCTCTACCTGTACACAAACACAGAAAAACGCACACACACAAACTAAACATCAAATGCCCTGAGTGGGATTCGAACCCACGATCCCGGTTTCCAAGCGAGCGAAGACAGTACACGCCTTAGACTGCTCGGCTACCGTGACCGGCCCATCAAACATTATTAAGGAGATGAAATAAGTGAGCATAAGATAGGCAGTGAATGTGATGTGCATGGTAGACATGAGAAACGCATACAAAATGTTAGTTGCAAAAGCTGAAAGGAAGAAAGACTTAGAAGACCCAGGCATAGATGGGAGTATGATATTAAGATGTTCTTCCGTATGAAGGAAATGATGGGAAAGAAGCTGAGTTTGGACTTTAGTTCACGCATGTAATAGCCAAATTCTTTGGGGGAGTGTAGGTTTGTATTTCCAAGATGAACACACTGTCTATGTAGGATCTGAGTTTTTAACATCGATGACTATGAAGAATGGCGTCTTCTGGGATGTGGCGCCGTGTAGATCTTGTGTGAACCGGCGTTTCGGAGGAAAGTATTGCCTCCGTCTTCAGGGCAGAAAATCCGTGAGCGAGAACCCAGTGTAAGAAAGTGGTTAGCAAACTTGTTCCCCGCCAGTAAATGTGTCACAAATGGATATAAAACGTAAAACTTGTGATATTCGAACCTGGGAAAAAAATCTTCTCGCCATATCATCCACCAACATTGACACACTTGTCCCATCGATTTACCCGTACGTCGAAACCCGCAGCATAGAAATCTTTTGACTGTCGTCTCAGCCACTTCCGCACCTGGTCGGGCATCATCTGCGACTTACGAACGTCCTTGAGAGAATTTCTCGACTCAGTTGAGAACCGCTTCGCGCGACAAATATTTTCACCTAAACAGGACAATTTTTTTAAGAATATCCTTTGCATTGAGTCTTTTGCCCACAAAAAAACGCAGAAAAGAACGCTGATCTTCGGTAGTATAATCCTCAAGCACGGTCGCCATTTCGACTACTGAAACAAGCCTGCGAACATGAGCATGCGGTCTCCTACCTAGACTGCCATGAAGCTGAACTTTGCTGTTAGCTAGTGATATGCATAGAAAATCCATTACTTCCATTACAGCTGTGACCTATTTACTGACTGTCCTTTATACAATGAAAAGATAGTTTTTATGCCGGTATTACAGGAACTCAGATATCTAATTCGTAAAGAATAAAAGATACATATCATCGTTTCTCAAACAAATGTTTCAAGCATTTGTTATCGTCCTTATTCACCACACAACTCGTAATTACACTTAATTATAGCGCCATCGCTGATCTCCGCATTTTACATATCAATGTTACACATATACTAGTGTTCTTAGTCTGTTTCTAGACGTTTCCTGGTATCGACTCTAATAGTGGATATTTCTTAGTTTCCGCGCTCAAGTCCTCTCTGATTGGCGACTCCATTCAAACTGCGACCTTGCCCCTTGCTTATAACACCTCGGCACGGACAACGTGGAAAACACGATTCCTCTGTTGCCTGCTTATCAGTTGCTGCGGGTACATGTTACTCAAACCTTCCCTAGCAGCGGCCATCTATTATTATTAAGAATCTGCTGCCTAGTAACGGACGTCGTTACCTTGTTTGTTTTGCGGTCGTTGCCTAGAAACAAATGTTGTTTCAAAGCCTTTCGATTGCAATGGCTGTTTCTCCGGCTCCACAATTTTACTTATAACAAATATGTCAAAATACTGAAATATTTCTGACAATGATTAGTTAGGAGGCATTACACATAGATAAGAAGCAAGTTTTAAGTAAAATGGAAACAACAATTAGCCAACGGAAATGTGATAAGGCCTAGTCACTTCGAGTCTGAAGTTCCTCAACATAAAGTAAGTACACTGAATAGGCATTAATGCAATGGATGTAATATTCTGCCAAGCTAGCAAGACATCGGGCATATTGTGAAATTGGGCCTATTAACAGATTCAAAATGTCATTTCTTCAAAAGCTGTGCATTTTTACATTCATCGGATTATTCATCTTTTTCACAGGTAAGGGAAAAACAAGTTTATGTGAAGGTGGTTAGTTATTATTATTGCTAGTGGGGTGGGACTAAGTCCCTTGTACTGCGGCCACTTCTGGCCTGTTGTACCAGCCCCAGATGATAGGTGAGGGTGATTGTGGAGCAATTGGTGGAATGAAGATTGGCAGGGAAAACCGAAGTACTCGGAGAAAACCTGCCCCAGTGCCACTTTGTCCACCACAAATCCAAATTGACCAGACACGGGATCGAACCCGGGCCGCCCCGGTGGGAAGCCAGCGACTAACCGGACATATTTCAAAGAGGGTAAAACCTCTCATCTTCCTCTGTGAATACTTCAATTTAAAAATACATAAAACTATAATACCATTTTCTTTTTGTAAGTGAATGGAAAACTGTCTCTCAATCTAAGATAAGGACAAAAATTTGAAGGTCTTTGAAGATTGCGGTCTTCTGGTATGATATTCTTTCCGCGCGGCTTACTCGTGTATCCGATAGATTGCGGTAGCGGGCTCCTTCAAAACGTTGGCACTTTATATTGTCTCACTCCAGAAGACCGCGATTTTGATATTCATTGCCATGAGAACTTCAGATATGGCATGTGAAAGTATTTAATTACAATATTCTCAGAGAATATTTGGATCCCAAGGAACTGAAGAGTAGGAGAATTGAAACAGTACACGAAAAGTAATTCAAAATTCGTTATCTTAACTTTAACATTTTTGAGCTCATAGAAATAAAAAGGAGTGAAATTGACAGGACGTATTACACTAATGCGTGAAATTAATAGTATATGAAGGAGGGAACTGGCAGGTCACGTGACACTCATGTGTGGAATTTATATACACCAGCTTCAACTATTAAAGTGAAGAGAACGAATATACGAGTATATAAAGTGGCACGCATAAGCGTAATTGCTTGAGGCACTATGCTACAAGCCGGAAGGTCGTGGGTTCGAGTGCCCATGAGGTGGATTTTTTCAATTTATCTATTCCTTCCAGCCGCACTATGGCCCGGAGGTCGACTCAACCTCTAACAGAAATGAATACCACGAATCTTCCTGGGGGGTAAAGGGCGGCCGACGCGTAAGGCTGACAACCTCACCGCCATCTGTGAGCCGATTATCTAGAAAATGTGGAAGCCTCAACCTGTCACAATCCTATGGGCCTCCACGGCCTGTTACAGGAATAACTCTACTTTTATAAGATTGGATCATGTGGCTGATGATAATAATAATTCAATTCAATTCTTTAATAATAATAACAACTTGGTTTAGTAGCATTGTATTTTACGATGGACTGAACATTAGTTCAGCTAGAGAAGCAATATATATATATATATATATATATACACACACATATANCCTGTTTGTAAATTGTGCTGCGGCCTATACACGCACGCGGCCTATACATGCGTAAATACGGTATATATATACTGTATTTTTCATATCTCAAGGCAACAGATGACATTTGAATTCAAGGTGGAGACAGAAGAATAATTGGCCTGTTGAATAAGTAAGTTAAGTATACAGCTTTCGGCAATATTAATTTGAACTGATTTAGAATCAAATTCAGCGACGATGCACAACATTTAATTTACAAGTGGGTCACTCAATCTGTCACTCATTCAGATCATATATAGTATATTTGAGTCAGTTATGCTAATCACTAACTCAGGTCATTTCGAACAGAGACAGCCCGAAAGAATCACTGGAAGACCTACAAAATGGGAACATTAATAATATTAATAATTCATGTTATTCAGTTTCAATAAATCGTGGTTGTCATAATACCTAATTATGCTTACTTTGAAACTCTAAAATCACCAGCAAACTAATGCAACAAACTTAATTGGAAAGATATCTTCATCAGATGCGCATTTAAAATATACCTGTATATCTGTTCACAGATGTCCACTTCGCCAACGCAGCATCTGTATTGAAGAACGGCACCCATCATGGCCGTCAGGTATGTTCAAATATACTCTAGGTCAGGGACGGGCAATTATTTCGGCTGTCGGATCGTATCAATAGTTTAGATTATCTTTACAGGTCAAACATTTGTAAACGTACAGGGACTGGGCAAAATGATTGAAACACTACAGCTACTTTATATGTTTCTTTATTACTGTTTTGGTACCAATACAGCGGCAGTTCTGCTTGGAATGGACTCGTACAAGTTTTGAACACTCTCCAGCGGAATTTTTTACTATTCGTCTTCAAGAACATCTCCAAGTTGCTTTAGAGATATTGGAAGTTGGACTCTGTTCCTCACTCTAGTCTCCAAAACTGACCAGAGTGGTTCAATGATGCTCAAATGTGATGATTACGTTGGAGTTCGACTTCATGTTCGTGAAACTATGATCGAAGTGTTCCGCCTGTGTGAATGGGGACATGTCGTCTTGGGAAACTGCATTGTTTTTCGGAAATAGCGTCTGGATCATGGGATGTACCTGACTACTCAAGCTGTTCACGTACTCCCTTGCAGTATTTCGGCCATGAAGGGTAATAAGGGGACCAACAGAACACTGTACCACGATATAGTTGCGCAAACTATCACAGAACCTCCCCCGTGTTTCACTGTTAGAACCAGGAATTCCGGATTGTAGGCTTCCTTGGTTGTTCTCGAAACGTAAATTCTTCCTGACGCAGGGAACAGCGTGAAGGACGGTTCATCTGGCCAAATCACGCTTTCGTTTCCAGTTGTCTAATGTCCAGGTTTTATGGTCGTGACACCATCATTTACGCATCTGAGCATGACTTTCAATAATCAGAGGTTTAGCAATTGCAGCTTTATCGTGGATGCTGGACTTATGAATGTCATGCTGGGCAGTTTTTGTGCAAACGGGGTCTTCAAGATGAATATTATGTTTTGTTATCACCTGTGTGATTTTTCGAAACAGTCCTTCCCAATGTACGACGATATACTTCTGTCAGTGTTGATTTTCGCCCACTGTTCCCTTTCGTTGATGTTGTCTTCCCATGATTCGTGTATGCAGACATAACCTCGGAAACTCTCGGATACACGTAATAATGTGACAGTTTTTCTCACAGATGCTTCAGCTAAACGCGCGCCAATAATCTCCCATCTTTCAAAATCGGACAAGTCTCCCATTTTTCGAATTCTTCATAAGGACTGTCACCCAACACAACCACTATTTCACTTACACGAGCACAACAGAGTGTAAACAAACGGAAGAATATCCAGCGTTGCCAACTGAAGTTCTTTCAATGTAACCAACACAAACATTCTATTCATCAAATTATACCTAAGTGGTTCCATTATTTTGTCTACTCCTTGTAAATGTTGAATTCATGTATCCAATTTGCGAATGGAGGAACTTAATGGTACATAATTAATACGAGTTTAAAGGGTTTAAATTCAATGAAACAAAGTACAGCCAGTATGTGTTGACTTTCTTAAAGTTACTTTAATCTTACAACTAATTAATCGATATTTATGACGTAAGAGTACTAAAACTATACTGTCCGGCATATTTTGTTGAAATCTTAGTTTGACTGGCTCTTGCGGTTGTTCTCAACCCCTTTTTTAGGGTTACAAGCTATTTGTGCGGATATGTAAAAGTAATTACAAAGAAAGTTGGAGTAAAGACAAAGAATTAAGATACAAGCTTGTGAGTAGTTACTTTTTCTGATTACAATTATCTTGAAAGCAGTTATAGGAAAATTCGATGGTTTAAAAGGCAGGTCATCTGATGAATTATACATAATAATATTTCCGCTAATAAAAATTGTCAGTACGTAGAAGTTGTAAAACTCGACTTAAAAATAATGGATACCATCCTACAGAGAGTGTCATGAAAAATTCGTCGGCTCTGTTGGCCACAATACAATATGGATATCTCTAGGGTCATTCAGACACCATGTTCTCATTTCTCACATCCAGTACTATAATATGTTTATAATAAAATACTTGAAAAGCAGACAGGGCGTGAAGTTGATATCTCTTTTCCATCTAGTGCCGAAGTCAAGAATAATGGAGTTTCTCCAATATGTCCTCAAGGCATAGTGCTTAATTAATTAATCACAGTGACAACTCCATTTGAAATGACAAAAAAAGAGCCACGCGAATGTAGTTCAGTTTCTGTTAATTTCTGTGGTATTTAAAGATGATGATTTGGTCACGCGGTAGCGTAGTTTGTTGAGGCACTATGGTACAAGCCGGAAGGTCGCGGATTCAAGTCCCCATGAGGTCACTGGATTTTTTCAATTGACCTAATCATTCCAGCCGCACTATGGCCCCTGGGGTCGACTCAGCCTCTAACAGAAATGAGTACCATGAAATAATTAAATAATTTTCCCGGGCAGTAAAGCGCGGCCGGAGCGTAAGGCTGACAATCTTACCGCCATCTTTGAGCCGATTGTCTAGATAATATGGGAACCTCAACGTCTCACAACCCTATGGGCTTTCACGGCCTGTTACAGGGATAGCTTTACTTTACTTGTTACGGATTACTCACGATTGATGCATAGGTTATTTAACGATGCTGGATAGGACATATAGCGTGACTGAATATATGAGATTGGTGCCAACATTTTGGTCTAAAATATTTCAAGCAGAGAAACCACTTGCAAAAACTAGGCATAGGTGGGAGGAAAATAATATACTTAATATTAAATTTTTTCATATCTCCAGGAAGTTCGTAGAAATAGGGGCTTCACGTGAGCCAAGGTCGGTTCCTTCCTAGTCATTGTATCGTTATAATTCATGACGATATTCCTATCTCGTCCGACGCTCAGTGACTTCTGACGTTAAAACATTATCATTAAAAAACGAAGTTAGTCACTGGAAGCGTGACAACGCTTTACCTCACTTGAGGTATCTCAGAATTTTTTAATATTATATAAACGACGATTATTGTACAAAGCAATATTGTGTCGAGTCCATAGTTAAGTTGGCATAAATTCTTACTTCAATACAATTAAACGTAGACCTTACTGTCTTTTACCGCCTGCTTTCATTTTCTATTTATCTCAAGGTCTACCTTATCATTCTTTACGTAAATGACTGTTTAAAAATGTAGAATGTTGGAGGCGGTGTTTTCTCTACTTTCCGTCCCAAAGTTGAGTAAAGAGGACAGTGCTTATGGATTAGGAATCAGGAATTAGGGAGAGATATCCAGACACACAGAGAGCAAGGTGATCTCACAATCATCCCTGTATTTTTCAAAATAAGAAAAGTAGGCTAAAATCATAGATCAAGTTACACGAAATAAAAAACTACAAATATAAAACTGGATGCTCTGCATAACAAGAAGAAATTTCGGCAAACAAATAATATAAACTAATTAAGGACGCATGACATGGCATCGAAGGCTAAACTAGGTTAGACAGGCTAAGAGGAAATGTTAGAAATTTTGCTGAACGGAAGCTTCGGATCGATGTGCCAAGGACTGTTGGGCCCTCAACATCTTCTGTGTTACAAACTGCTTCCTCGCCAACTTTAATATAAGCCACAAACAAACAAACAAACTCCCTGGCTTGAGTCCGCAAGCGAACTATACCGACCGAGCGACCGCCGATTGTCGTTGAAGTTAGTGCCAACTTTAGCGGATAGAGGCTGTCGCGTAGTCAGCGCAACGGATTCCCACGTCCGTTAAACTCGGTTTTCTAGATCGAAGCCGCTACTTTTCCATTCAAATATCTCCTCAATTATCCTCACGAGGCTGAGTGTACCCCGTTTCAGACACATTGCTTCTCAGAAAATCTGGTAGCGCCGGGGACCGAACCCGGGACCTCTAGATCCGTAGCCAGGAACTCTGACCACTAGACCATAGAGATAAGCCACACGCCAGCAAAACTGACCAAAATCACTCTGCACCACCCTATAATGTCAATACAGAATAACATTTCGTATTTGCTACAGCTGCATCTACCCGATTTCAATTATGTGTCTATGAATACCGCAGTAAATGTGGGACCATATTCAAACGAATTTACCGACTCAAATTTGTATCCTGAAACATGAAAATATATGAGGTCCGTGCAAAGGAACTCTTTTTTTTTTCATTGGCGCTACAACCCCCATTTGGGCCTAGGCCTACCTCCATGAAACTCTCCGTTTCACTTCGGTTCACTAGATCTTAGACATACGGTAGG